CTTACTGTGATCATCATTGTGTAGCTGATTAAGGTTAAATGTGAATGAGTAGTGCACGGTTAGCACTTGGGTGTGTTTTTGTTTAACTTCTGGACAAAGACTCAGGTGCAAAAAATAAATCCTCTTTAGCAACCCAGAACACACAAGAAGGTATAAGGATACCTAACAGTTTAAAGTGATGACCATTAAGGTTGACTTAAAGAATAAAGTGTAGAATAGGAAGATAACTTTCAGCTGTGTTCAATCACCATTCATGTTGTGATGCATGAAAAACTTCTCTTAAGGCTTCTAATTTGAGACTTGAGGTCTGAAGCTGAAGACATCTTCTGTGAGTGGATCATGCTTGTCCAGATGTAGTAAGTACACAAGTCTCCAAAGTTTCATTTTATAAGACTTAGAGCTTTAATTTCCAATTACATTTCCAAAAAGCAATCAGATATGTAGTTATGTAGTATCAGTTCATTTTACTTGAAAGGATTTGTAAGTAGAGCTTTTGAGTTTCCAGGGTTTAGCATACATTTATCTGGAATTAATTCAGGTGAGCTAGGGGATTTAATTAAATACATTAAGATAAATCTGGTAAAAATTAAGAATTACATATTTTCTTAAGTGAGACTGGGGTTTGAACTTGGCCTTTTTGCTTACAGAGAAGGCATTCCACCTGAGCCACACCTTCAGTCCATTTTGATCTGGTTATTTGGCAATGGGATCTCAAAACCAGGGCTGGCCTGATCTCAGCCTCCAAGTAACTAGGATTACAGGGCATGAGTAACTGGCACCTTCCTACCTGATTTTTAAATTATAGCCACCTAAGTTACTAACATTTAAGTACTTTTCCATTTGTGAGGTAAAATTCATCTCAGGTAAAACTGGTGATCTGGAGTGGAATATGGGAAACAGTGAAAGTGATATTTAAATCTTTAGTTCATCTGAAGTAGCTGGTTGATGGTATTATTTAGTAGCCTACACTCTCTGAAGAGCTTGATTAAAAATACTTTGAGGTTTTTTTGTCGGATATGGACAATGCTAAAAATTGAACCCAGGGCCTCACATGCTAGACAAGTTTTCTACAAGATATAGAAATGATTTCATTTTTGTGATTAAAATAGATTTTCCTGTTCATGGCTATTCTTGCATAATTTTTGCCAGAGCTTATCAGTTCTTGATAATTACTAATTTTTGTACTTAAATTTATTAAAAAATAATAAACATTGAGGTCTATCCCGATGGCTTCCTATAGCCACACATCGTTGGAAATGCTCATACAGTAATTGTGTGGTTTTGCTTTACTCACAGGGCCTTTTTTTTTTTTTTTTATGTGCATACAAGGCTTGGGTCATTTCTCCCCCTGCCCCCACCACCTCCTTACCACCTCACCCCCCCGTCCCTCTCCCCACTACCCCTCAAAACCCAGCAGAAACTATTTGCCCTTATTTCTAATTTTGTTGTAGAGTATAAGCATAATAGGAAGGAACAAGGGTTTTTGCTGGTTGAGATAGGATAGCTATACAGGGAGTTGACTCACATTAATTTCCTGTGCGTGTGTTTCCTTCTAGGTTAATTCTTTTTGATCTCACCTTTTCTCTAGTTCCTGTCCCCTTTTTCCTATTGGCCTCAGTTGCTTTTAAGGTATCTCATAGGGCCATTTCTTAGGTCTGTGGTAAGTAAACTACAAGACAGTACAAAGTTTGAAAGAACTGCTAATATATATACATATATATGTTGTTTACCTTAGGTATTGGCAGAAATCCACATATCCTTAGTGTGTAATAGGTAATTTTTAGTTGGTGATTAATGGACAATCTTTGAACCACAGTTCAGATGATGAATTTGACTGTTCAATCTGCTGAATGAACAGACATGAACTAAAACTTAATTCTGACAAGAGCTGGAGATAGCTATTAAGGTAAAGAGTAAACTTAGTTTTTTTTATGTGAAGTACTTTTGAGTATCCTTTCTAAGTCTATTGATTTGGCACTTTCGCCTTGTAGGAGAAACTCATTGATGAAAATGGGTAAGTGAAGATAATTTCTAATAACTTATCTCAGGGAACACCCCTAAGTTCTAGGATTTGAAATTATAAGAATTACAAATTTGCAAGCATAGCATTCCATATACTGTTAAAAGTACATTATTTTAGGTATAAACAAGAGCTCAGCAAAAATATTGGTACCATATAGGACATACAGTAAGATAACTCAGGCTCAGTGTTTGTCCCCATACCTTCTCAACAGGAAGTAGAACAGGAGAATCAAGCGTTGAGGTCAGTCTGGGCTATATAAGAAGACCTTGTTTAAAATGTCAAGATTCTGACTAGTGTGCCTTTTATTTTATGGCTCTACTGGGATGAGAACCTATTGCCATATTGGGCAAGACCAAACTAAAGCTCTATAGTGATTTGGCTTAATTTGATGTGCATATTATGGAGACCAGATAAAGATGACTAGGATTATTTAGTTTGTATTTAGATACCATTCTTTTCAAGGGGTTACAGCATGTGGGTAACTGGAGTTTGAACTCAAGGCCTCACACCTTCGAGGCAGGTGCTCTACCATTTCAGCAATCCCTTCAGCCCAGGATTATATAATTGAAAAAGTCTGTGGTTCCTTAGAATGACAATTTGGAAATAAGGGTCGAATTAAATTTCTCAGCTGCAGTGCAAACCTAAGAAGGTTGTTAAATGTAGTCAAATGCGATGTGGGTATCTGCACTCAGCAGTTTATTCTGCTGGTGTGTTCAAAGGACAGTGCAATAGAAATTCAGTATGTGTCATTGTTGGTTTTCTTTGCCTTTGTGCATGTTAAACCTGGTATTTAATATTGACACATTATTTTCATGGTTTCTTGCTACAGCTATAAATAGTAAATGCTAGGGTGTCAGCACTTGAGATCCAGGAAGGTCCATCTACTCTAAAAATGTAAGGCTTTCTATTGCTTCCAGCTGCTTGTTTCCTCCTGGCAGCATAACAGAAGAACTTGATAGAGATTCAGAAGTCTTTTGCATGTTGCATGAATCCTCTTGAAAGGAATTTGCCTCATTCCAGATGAGAGGGGGCACTGCTGATTGGTGTCCTAGATTGGTCAATGTGGCTAAATTGAGACACAGGTCATGCTTCCATCACAGTAAATGCATTGCAGTGGTGACAGTGAGATCTGTAACATTTTGCTTAAGCTCATGGATGAAAAGATGCAATAGAAAAATGTTTCCTAGAAAAACTTGGTATTATAAAAGTGCTTTCTATAATTAATCTCCTAGGACTGAACAATAAATTGCTTCAGGAAATTAAATCCCACAGGTCCTCAGGTAAGTATTTTTAACTTGTTACTTCAAAAGCAGTGTAGGTAGTTTTGTAATGTTGTAAACCATTAATTTATGTATAGTAAATTGCCACTGATAGGATGTTATGATGATAGGCAAAATGTTCAACTGCTCTGAATTAAGCTGACTGATAATAGCCTTTCTGAACATCCATACACTGCAGAGGCTCTAAGGAACTTAAAACATGCATGCATTAAAATTAGTGTTCACTGGGCACTTATTTCCCCTCATACCCTAACTGCCCTTGAAGTAGCAAGCCCCAGTGGTGGGATTATTCCAAAATACATTTTATAATTGAATTAAAACCATTGAGAACCTAGTTAGGTGCATTTTCAAAGTTGTTTTGTTTCTGTCTGTTTTTAAACACAAATTTTTCCACAGATGGGAATTTTGAAGTTGCCATCAATAATTCCAATCTGCAATTCAAGTGGCCACATTAAAGATGAAGCCCAAATTTTGTGGCAAGTAATTTTTTAGATACCTACAGGGATAAAATGGTCATTACCAAGGCTTTTAGAATGCAGTTTCTCATTTGCTGTGGACATGACCATAAAGAAATTTCCCACTAGGTTTTCTATATGCTACTTTGTTAGCAATCAACCTATTGGGGACACTACTGCCCAATAAAATAACGCAACAATGATTTTTCTAATGGTAACTTCATTGCTAATGAGATTTTTAACAGTCAAATACTGTGCAACATTGCAACATTTGTAATTGTCTTTCTTGGTTATGTTTTTTGTCATGCAGGACAACTGGATTAAGCATCTTTTAAAGAGGTATGCACACATAAGAGAAATCTAATGTATGTAGGTCATTTCAAAGAGGGCTTTTAGGGCTGTAAAACCAAGAGCTCTTAACGCTGTGACCTGAGATTGAAGTTCTCTATGGGATGCCACAGTCACTCAGCAGTAGTGCTGTGCTTTGCTGAGGAGAGACACAGATGGTGAAATGGAAAAGTGTTGTAATTCTCTTTCACTCTCTTTAGGGCTATCCTGGAAGAAAAATCAACTTTAAAGGTAACCTTGATGTGCAGTAAAACCAACCAAAACATGTAAAATTATTAAATAATTTATTGACGTTAAATAATTTTGCCTAAAAACACTGTAAAAAGTCAGCATGTATTTTTGGCTCGAAGTTTCTCTAGTGTTTTCTGTGGGGGGAATAAAAATCAAATCATTTCAGTATACTTTTTACTTTAAACATAAAAAACTGGGGATACCCTGCTCCCTTATGAAATTCTTTTGCTCTTGCTCTGTTTTGAGCATAAGCTTGTTTCACTTTCTCTTCCTTTTGTTTGTTTCACTTCAGCTAGTTGATCATATAATCTGTAAGAAGCTGATGTAGAATTAAAAGAAAACTAATATTGCAGAACAGTGAATCACAGTGAAACAAAAACTACCTGAGAGCCCTTTGATGTCTGAGGACTTGTGTCTTTCTTTCCTCAGGAAGCAGTGCTCTAACTTTATTTATACCCCTGAGGTGACTTACAGATGAGCCTGAAAAAAGATGAATAAGTAAACAAAATAAAAGGGCTGGCAGATTTGGGCAAGACTCCAAATTAAAGGTTACTTAAAGATACTGTACCTGTACAGGGTTGAAAATTTATAGTTTTACTCTGTATTTCTTCTGCTCTGACAGGCTTCTCCATAAATGACTTTTCTCTCTTACAAATGGTTCTTGTAAGTTCCCTGATATGGCTATAAAATTGGGAAGATTTCGTTAAAATCTTGAATATTTTCACCTCATTTAGCAGTTATATGTAGAGGTGAATGAAATACCTGTAGGCTTGTTCTCTGATACAGCTGGATCATCTGGGGTTTCTGATAGAAGAGGCAGAAATTCACCCACCTAGTTGCAAAAGTCACAGATGAGTTTGTAGTTCGTAGTTACAGGCCAGGTAGGCCGTGAATTACCCCACACCTGGCTTGTTGGTTCTGTGCCTGCAGATCATCCGCTTTCTCATCCTTTTCTTGCTATTGCTGATAGCAATATTCGACAAATACTTTCTTCCAGGTGTGTTATGAAAAAGGTAGATGGTCGAACTATATGAATCCTACATATATAGAGGGGTTTTCCTATAAACTGTCAGTTTCTGCTCTCTAATGTTCAAATGCTAATAAATTTACCTGAACAAAGTTTTTTGTCTCGTTCTCTCTCTTCTCTTCTAGGGTTAAGTTTGCAAAATCTGCTTCAGCAATACTGATGTCACTGGTGCTTACTAAAGTGAGTTCTGGTTCTTCCATTATACCATGGCCAGATTCTGTTTCCTGGGCAATGGAAAAAAGGAAGAAAAAAGCCTTGGAACATTTGGACAAAAAAATACTAGAGGGGACTGTGGGGTTTTCTCTGCTTTGTTATTTTCAGTTTGAGGGCCTCATGCTTGCTGGGCAGGTGCTCTACCACAAAGTCCTACAAGTGACTTGGAGAACCAAGCAGGTTAACAATGAATTCATTTTGGAGTTTTTTCATGTTGTTGCTTCTCTTAGCATTTAAGTTTCTCCTGAAAAGGAGTTTGAGTTCTATTTACATGAGAGATGTCACTTACCCAGATTGGAATTGAGCTCTGGAATGAAAATGACTCTCGACTTGTAAGGGGCTCTAGTTGTGCTAGTTGAGATAGGTTTCTTAGGGCTTTTTGGAGTTTCCTTAGTTGAATTCTCAAAATATTTTTCACTTGAGAATGGTGTCTGAATTGAAGTTCCCATTTCCACTGTTCTTGCCATAATTGAGAGTCAGTTTCTTCTCCATGTGGATTTACAGCTAAAACCCTACAGGTTATTTTTTATCTTCTGTGAGTCCTTGACTTTGTAATACTGTATCAATCTCTCTTTTTGAAAGTTCTTCAAGCCCACTTTTCTTCTCTGCTTTCTAGTTTTATTGAGCTCTCACTAGAGGATGAACCACATGGAGTACTATGCTGTACTCGTAACTGATCAAACACAGCAGTGTCATCAGATGAACTGCACATGGAACTTTGGAAGTGAACGCTTTTTTTCTTATTTTGTATGTTTCAGTCTGTTCAGAGGGACACTTGTGATTATCCCTGCTCTTCAGAAGAATCTCTTGTTCAATGCTAAAATACTTGGTAGGTCAGCATGCTGACTCCCTCCTGAGAAGAAAATTCTGGCAGAGAAGTTGTTGAAAAGATTGTTCAGATCCTGCATGAAGAAATTTTAAAGTTATCAATAAACTTGAATAGATAAATCCCACCTAAT